TATATATACATACATACATACACGTAGGGGTGGGGTTGCTGGATCTCATGGTAATTCCATCGGTTACCTTTTCACATTGTTGAATGCTTTCTTTGACAAGCAGACATTTTTAATTTTGGTATAATCCCAGTTCCATCTTAACCATCTTTAAGTGTACAGTTGAATAATGGTAGTGTATATTCATCCAACCTTGTCTTACAAACTAGACGACAAGCATACTAATGAAACACTTCTAGTTTTTGATACAGTATTGCATCTGAAAACAACCTTAGTGGCAACTGGAAACATTCTAAGATATTTATAAGCAAGAGCAACAGTGGCATGGATTCCTCAGACTATGGAGAATTATCCAGATTTTAGCCCTCTTCCTATTACTATAACAAAAGTCTTCCAAACAACTGTATAAATTGGGACATTTAAGTTGATCACATGTATTGCAAAAAACCTTAACTAATAAGTAAATAAAGTTCATAAAGTTTTTTATTTGATTTTTGTAATGCTAAAGATAAAGTATAAGGGACTCACAAATGCAAGGTAGGCTCTCCACTACTGAGCTACATCCCTAGACTAAGTTCAGATACTTTTTTTGCAGTGGTGGGGATTGAACCCAGGGCCTTATGCATGCAAGGCAAGTACTCTACTGAGCTTTATTGCCAACCCTAAATTTGAATACTTTTAAGGGAAGCTTTAAAAGAAGATAGCTCTGTCATTGGGAAAATATCATAATCTATGTAATGGTGTATAAATATTGCAAAATAATACTATTTGCATTTGAAGATTATTTCTGTAAGTGTACCATGAAAGAATTCTAAGTTATATGCACTTTAAGAACTTTTCTTTACAATGTTCTGCAGTGCTTTCTATGAGATCAAACAATTAAGTAAAACATCTAGTCTTCAGAAATATAAAGGATTCTAGATATTGTATTCTTATAATTACAAAACAAATTTTCTGTATAATACAATGATAATAAGTATATCATGTACTACTAATAACAAATAAAAATAAAGGCAAATACACTCATTGAGAAACCATAATAAAAGAATATTCTCATTTTAAAATGAAGTAGACCTAAAACCATGGCGTTGTTCAAGCAGTAAGGACCAGTTTGGGCCCTGTGGCTGTTTCTGAAAAGCCTGTGTTCTGTGATGTCAGTATTTATGCCTTTACTAGTTATTAATCACTTGATTATAATTCCTACCTATAACTCTATAGAACCATTAATTGATAAGTATAAAAAGATAGCTCAAAAACATCAGATACAGCCAAGCATGGTGATGCACACCTGTAATCCCAGCAGCTTGGGAGGCTGAGACAGGAGGATCACAATTCAAGGCCAGTTGCAGCAACTTAGTGAGGACCTAAGTAACTTGGTGATACCCTGTTTCAAAATAAAAAACAAAGGGGGCTGTGGTTTGGGATGTGTCTCAGTGTTTAAGTATCCCTGGGTTCAATCTCCAGTACCAAAAAAAAAAAAAAATTACAATTACCAACAGGTTGCCTAAGAAAAACTTGTATCTCTTGCTGGTACTTCAGTGATAAACACTGTTATAAATCAAATAAATAATTTGTTTACCAAATAATATTTCTCAAAAATTGGTTAAGTACTCTCATACCTATAAACACACATCTCACCTGTGAATGACATGTTGAGACCAGAAGCCCAAGATGATGGTAACTAAGAGGAGCACTAATGCCCAAAGGTGGTAAAAGTCTGATTAAAAGGTGGAAATTGTTCAACAAAAATTATAGGAAGCCATTGTTTTGGACTAAGTTCCTGTGCTAGGCCCCAACAGACCAGGCTAAAAATCAAAATGGAATCACTCATACTAAAGTTCCACCTGACCAAGCAGAAACAAAACTCTTTATCTCACTTTCTGAGAAACCAGGACTAGAAAAATAATAGCCAAATTTCTCAAACAGGCCAGTTTCAATTGGTATAGTAATGAAGTTCCCTCTGCCTTAATTATTTCACACAAAAAATTGTAACTTAAAGTAACCTCGTATTAACTAATCTGTTATTTTTCTATTGTTCTGTTTCCCTGTCCCTGCCTTGCTAGGATAGTGACTTTGAAATGCTAAAAAAAGAAAGAAATATATATTTAAAGATATTATTAAATGAAGGTACTTAAAATAGTCTAGTTAACAATTTTTTTAAAGCTAATATGTATTAAAGTAAAATGTTGCCTAGATATGAACATCTTAGGGAGTCATTTGGCTGGCAATTGTCTTGGGGTTCTTTTGTATATTCAGCACGTAATCATGGCGGAAGGATGAGCGGACAGTACGATTCATCAAGGGCTGAAGGGGGCGAAAGTTGTCCACCATTCTTTTCTCTTTCTCCCCCTCAGAAGTGAAAAGCAAGGTCCGAAATTGCTCAAGCTGAAAAAAAAATTTTGAAAAAGGACAAATAAATTTAGTAGAAATCCAGCTTTGTCTCATGAATAAATAACTTTCATTTTTCTAATTCTAAAACATTTTGTCTCAAACTGGATTCAGAAGCAGAAGTTATTTCTAAGTAAGATACCTTCACCCTCCACAAGGAATAAAATACTATACTATGTTTTGCCATCCTTATGTGAGAAGGTGATGAAACCAGCCATGCACTTTGAATCAGAAGACTGAGGACAAAGATGAGTTACTTTATCTCTTTGATTCTCAAGAACCTAATATTTAATTGAACAAAACAGTCAGCCAAATAATAAAGGAAAGGCCTGATACATACAGTAACAACATAAAAAGTATGTTTTAAAAAAATTTACCAAATCATTAACATAAAATTGTGTAATTGATTGCTCACTGCACTTTGTATTGTGAGCAAAGAAATAACACATAGAGGTCTTGTGAGATGCTTCATACTGGTGCTGTCCAATAGAACTTTTTCTAATGGTAGAAATATCCTCTGCATGGTCCATCCTGGTAACCACAAGACACATATGGCTACTGAGCACTTGAAATGTGACCAGGTGACCAGTGTGAGAAACTGAATTTTTTATTTAAGTTGATTCATATTTAAATATAAGTGGCCATATGTGGCTAGTGGCTATTGTGTTGGATAGTATAGCTCAATACAGAAGCAGCAACCCAAAATATTAAGGCAATATGTTGTTCTTTGATGCAGCAATAGCCCCTGTCTTTCTTAGCAACCATGTTATAGCATACTACTTCAAGCTAGCCAGAAAATCTGTTCAGTCAATCTGGCCCACTGTGGCTACATAGAATAACCTGGGACACAGTAAGTAAGCATGTGAAAATTTGTTTGGAGGGCTGGGGGTGTAGCTCAGTGGTAGAGCACTTGCCCAGCATGCACAAGGTCCAACAAAAGAGAAAAAGAAAGAAGAGAATTTAGTTTGTTGAAGTAAAGACTTTAGACCAAATAAAACTGAAGAAGTAGGACATGATCAGAGGCAAGTACCAACAGAGTGGTTGTACTTGCAAATTACACATATGCCTTAGGAAATTAGGAAACTATACAAGTAGTTAATGTTAATTTTTTATTCAGCTAATTGAAAAAGATTAGGAACAACCCAAGTACCATAAAGTAGGTAATAAAAAGTGACATGAGATCAATAAAATGGGCTAGTATATATCCATTAAAAATTATATAGAAGATAATGGTTATTATCTAAAAATGTTGTGCACATCACTGAGCAAAAAGACAAGTAAAATGGTATGCACAGAATGATTCTGTTACAAAAATTACATATATTTATATAGATAAAAGACCAGCAGGATTTCCCCCAAACAATGAATAACACTGAATGGTAGGATTCCAGGTTACTAGGATTAGTTGACAGGAAATGGTTTTCTAACTGAATTTCCTGTGTTGAGATTTTATTTGAAAATTCCTTACATGGGCTACTGACCTTCTGATTTATTTATTTTTTAACTTTTTAGTGTTATGAAAATTATAAATATGAAGATTAGTAGCAGAAAATGTGTAAACCACAAAGCCTAGGCTTATGGGCAACCAAAATCTGTTATTTGTCATTTATTTATGGTGGTTTTTATCTTATAGAATTTTAAAAAAATACACAGTCTCAGTTACTAGCTGTTTTCTTTTGGACTTCTTGTTTTGTATTATAATTAGATAAAGCTTCTTCCATTTGAAGGTATGAAAGGATTTTCCTATGCTTATTCTAGGATTTTTATGATGGTATTTTTTGCATTTAATAGTTTGAATGCTGGATCCAACTTTTTTCCCCACTCATTTAACTCCTCGGTTGTTCCTTAGTAGCACTTACTGAATGCTGTATAATTTCCCCTCACTGAGCTGAGATGCTACCTTTATCCTAAAATAAATTCTCATATGTATTTGGATATAATTTTGAACTTACTGTTTTCTTCCTGTGATGTCTAATTTTATGTGCCAACTTGATTGGGCCAGGGATGCCCAGATAGCTAGTTAAACACTATTTCTGGATATGTCTGTGAGAGTGTTTTCTAAAGAAATTAAGATTTGAATTGGTGGACTGAGTGAAGCAGATGGCCTTTCCAATGTGGATGGACATCATTTAATCCACTGAGGGCCTGAATAGAACAAAAAGGCATAAGGCTGAATTTGCTCTGTGACTATTTTTTTTTAACTGAGACATCAATCTTATGCCTTTTGGAGCTCCTGATTCTCAGTCTCCAGACCAGGACTGGAATCTACACCATTGGCTTATCAGGTCTCAGGTCTTTGGGCTACCCTACCAGCTTTCCTAGGACTCTCAGCCTTTATAATCACATGAGAAAATATCTTATAAATAAATCTCTATCTCCATCTTTCTGATGGTTAATCTTGGTTGTTAACTTGATGGATTGAGAGATGCCTTGAAATTGTTGAAGCACACTCTGGGTGAATCTATGAGGGTGTTTTCAGAAATGATTGGCATGTGGGTCAGAGAACTGAGCGGGGAAGACCTACCTTGAATAGACTGGGGGACCCGGACAGAACAAAAAGCAGTAGAAGGGGATGCTCATAAGCTCACATTTGTGCAAACTCCATTCTTCTACAGTGGATGTAGTTTTTGATGATGCCATTGCTGTGGATACGGCTCCAGATTTTTCAGGTTTTGAACATGGACTTACACCAATGACTTTCCAGGGAGCTCCCAGGCCTTCAGCCTCAGATTGAGGCTGCATCATTGTTCCTTCTGGTTCTGAGACTTCCAATTTCTTAGACTGAGTAGTTACTTATTTCCTCAGTTTTCCAGCCTGCATCCAGCTTCTGATCATGTAAGCCAATCTAATAAATCTCCTCTTATATATACATTCTATTCTGTTCTTCTAGAGGACCCCAATACTAATTCATCCTCCCCACCATTGGTTCTGTTTCTCTGCAGATCCCTAGCACACTTCACTTAATTGTTCTTTTTATTCATGCATCAGTACTATAGTATTTAATTTTTGAGTCTTTATAATTTTGTGAATATAATCATTCCTCATTTTCTCTTTTAGAATTTTCCCTGGTTTATACTTATCTGTTTGTACTTGAATTTAGAAGTAACATACCTATTTAAAATTTTATTGGTATAGGGACTGGGGTGTGGCTCAGTGGTAGAGCACTTGCCTAGCACATGTGAGGCACTGGGTTTGATCTTCAGCACCACATAAAAATAAACAAATAATACAAAGATATTGTGTCCATCTACAACTAAAATTTTTATTGGTATATTTATTGAGACTATGTTAAGTTTATGGAGAATAAACAATTCATGAAGAATAACAACTTCAGGAGAATAGATAGCAAAGGTGTTTTTATGATATCTTCCTGTCCAATAATATAGAGTGAATTTTACTAACTCATCTTCTTTGTGTCCTGCAGGAATATTTTAAATTTTCTTATTGAACTCTCTTCTTAAACTTATTGCAAAGTATTTTATATTTTAAACATTATTTTATAATGTTTCTATTATAAATAGGGTTCTTTCTTCCATTATATCTTTTAACTGATTGTGATTTACATATTTCAAATATTTTTTTTATTTATATAAATTAATATGGTAGGGGCTGGGGTTGTGGCTCAGTGGTAGAGCATTCACCTACTATGCATAAGGCACTGGGTTCAATACTCAGTACCACACAGGGTAAAAATGGGAGTTCATAATCTGCTTGAATCAAATGTATGAAATATGATATGTCAAGAGCTTTGTAATGTTTTGAACAACTAATAATAAAAAATAAATAAAAATAAAATAAAATAAAGGTATTGTGTCCATCTATAACTTAAAAAATGTAAAAAAAATTAATATTGTACTACAGTAATCACCAAATTAACTTATTTTTTGTAGTATATTTTATTGTTTCTCCTATTTTTTTAAAATTTTCTCATCTAATTGTATTAGCTACTTCTAGAACATTTTTTTTAAGAGACAGGGTCTTGCTTTGTTTCCCATAGCTGGCCCAAAATTCCTGGGCTCAAGAGATTCCCCTGCCTAAGCCTTAGGTGGGTCAACAGACACACACCACTAAACCCTGCTAATTCCAGAATATAATTTAATATAAAATTTAATATTGGAATAATCCTCTCTATATTAAACATACTATAGTTGGTCCCCTGAATTTATGGGTTCCACATTTGTGGATTCTTCCAACTGTGGATCAAAAGTATTGGGGGAAAAAATTGTACCTGTCCTGATCATGTACAGACTTTTTTCTTGTCATTATTCCCTAAACAATACATTATAACAACCATGTACATAGGATATACATTGTAGTATGAGTAATCTAGAGATGATTAAAGTATACAGGATGATGTATGTAGGTCACATGCAAATATTATGCCATTCCATGTAAGGGCTTGAGCATCTGCAGATTTTGGTATCCATGGGGAGTCTTAATCCTCTGCAGATACCAAGTGACAACTGTATTTACTTTTCTTTCTTTTGTTTTCTTTTTTTTTTCCTTCAGTGCTGGAGATGAAACCCAGGGCCTCACTCATGTTAGGTAAATGTTCTACCACTGAACCACATCCCTAGCTCTGTTCAAATTTACTTTTAAACTGAGATCAATCTCTTTTATCATATTAAATAAGTCTCTATTCATTTATATTTTATTAAAAATTATTTAAAACTGTCAGGTGGAGTGGGCTAGGGTTGTGGCTCAGTGGTAGAACACTTGCCTAGCACGTGTGAGGCACTGGGTTCGATTCTCAGCACTGCATACAAATAAATAAAATAAAGGTCCATCAACAACTAAAAAGATATTTAAAAAAAACCCAAAAAACTGCCAGGTACAGTGGCATATGCCTGTAATCCCAGTTATTTGGGAAGCTCAGGCAGGAGGATTGCACGTTCAAGGCCAGCCTGGGCAACTTAGTCAGACCCTGTTTCAAAATAAGTATAAAAGGCCAGGGATATAGCTCAGTGGTAGAGCATCCCTGGGTTCAATCCGCAGTAATGCAGAATAAATAAATACTGAATAGAAAAATTTACAAATGTCTATTAAGATTCTATAGAACCCAGGTGTGGTGGAGCATGCCTGTAGTCCCAGCAACTGGAGAGGCTAAGACAGGAGGACCGCAAATTCAAGGCCAGTCTCAGCAACTAAGTGAGGCCCTAAGCAACTTAGAGAGACCCTGTTTCTAAATAAAAAAATAAAAAGGGCTGGGGATACAGCTCAGTGGTAAAGTACCTCTGGGTTCAATCCCCAGTACAAAAAAATAAAAAAAGAATCTATGGAAATAACATGACTTTTAAACATTAGATTCACTGATATAATGAATTGTATTAATATCATTCATAATGAATCATTCTTCCTACGTTACTACAATATACACGACTTAGACAAAGTATATAGTTCTTCTAATGTATTGATAGATTTTTATTTTGTATTCTATTTCTAATATTTTAGGGCTTTTTTGTTTGTTTGTTGTTTTTTAGCTTGTATGTTCTTCAGAGATACCAATTCAGAGTTTACTCTTGAGGAAGGGTCCAATTTTCAATGGATGTTAGTATTGGTAATCCTGACTTCATAAAAAAAGAGTTTAGAAGGCTTCATTTTTTGTGAAAATGGTTTATAGTCAAATTTTTAAATCCCATAAAGCAATTATGAGCAAATACTATTCTACTTTAGTTATATTATGAATTAAACAGGATTCTGTTTATTGACATAGTAGCTACCACTCAAACTTATTTTCTAGGGAAAAAATTAATCCCAGGTTTAAAACAAGTAACTTACATTAAAATTCCTGGACAGTCATTGTTAGATTCTTTTTATCTTGCGATTTTATTGCAAAATTCCCTTAAGAATTTTAAAGATCTTTGAATATATCTCATTGCCAGCCTCCATTCTTCCTTTTAAATGGGTCTTGAATTTATATAGAGATTCATGCTCTATATAAAATGCACAATGTATAAAACATAAGTAATTGTTAAATACAGAAGCAAGCAGCTTATGTTCTTCCTTGTTTGAACTCTTCTTTCAAATTAATCTGAAGCATTTCCTAAATCATATCCAAATTAAGATACGGTATTAAAACTGTCAAAGTTTGAACCCAACCTTTTTTTTTTTAGACAGGCAGACTAGGGTCTCCACACGTGGAAAATGTGAAAACAACATACCTGATCATGATCAACCTCTACTGGCTGCTTCTTAATGATCCAGGTGACAGACTCAGAGAGGGGCGGGGTAGTCAGAGACCCGGAGTAGGTCCAGTAATCCGGGCAGGCAGGCATCATGCAGGAAGGGTCAAATGACCCAAATTCCACAAGGGTGTCCTGGCCATAAGAAGTTACCCAGCTATTATTCAGTAGTAAAAAAACACTCAGGAATTAGAAAACCACTCAGGCAATGATTCTCAGGGGGTCTGGGGACTAGCAGTGGTTCAAGGGAGCTCCAGGCACCCTGGGCAGCTTTCTGAAGAATCATCACTGCTTAACACAGAATCATGTCCAGGCTTTGTTTCCACAATCAACTGTGTATTTCTGATATTTCTTAGTGGGAAAACAGTCAAAACCATTGTCTCCCTCAATTTTGATGAGCCTATAGCAGGTGGTCCCCTCTGTTATTGGGAGATCTTAGGTAGTGACTGCTGCATAAACAAGGAGACTTCTCCTAATCAAGACAGACTAATGCAGTTTAAATCAGGAGGAGCCAAAATCCTGGACTGAGGAGAGAGAGAAAGAGAGAGAGGGATGGAAAGGGGGAGAGATGGAAAATGAGGGAGGGAAAGAGGAGAAGAGAGGAATGATAAACAGACTTCCAGGTTGCAGATCTTTGGGGTACTGAATGTGGAGGACTTCATCTTGGGGACTGGACAAGGGACAAGGATAATTGTTCTTTACAGCAAGACAAATCAAGTCTCTAAAGGATTTTTCTTGCTCCTTCCCTGTGGAGGTGACTATAGAAAAGAAGACTGCTCTGGGTGTTTTTACAAGGACTTGCAAGGAGCTGGTGTCAAGAACAAAGGAGGGGAAAGTAGTATATTCCTGAGTCCAGAGTCCCAAGCAGCATGGCAGCAAAACTAGAGAGCTCAGTGCCCATCAATGCAGTCACGTCTGTGCCCTGCAGTGGGACCCGGGGGCAGGGGCTCTCTTAACACAAGCATCATAAATGCCAAGTTCCCTACCTCGGCAGTGTTGAAGGAGAACCTGAACACAGGTCACCTAATTACACTTTCTGGTACAAAGGGCCTATTAATGTCTCCACTCTGAGATTGGAAGATAAAGTATATTTCAAGTGAGCCAGAAAAAAATATTACCTTATGCTTAATTGATGGCAAAGTATCCACCAACTTCTGTAGCTCTTTATGATGTTTGCCTAGCTAAAGAACAAAGACAAAAATATTAATAACAACAGACATCTCACTGTAGAAACTGTAACAGAATGGGAATTAAAATTAACCACCTGATGATTACATATAAATAAACCACAGGACTGAAACTAGACTTAAGCTGATAATTGAGAATGTTATAAACATCACTGAATTCAATTAGATACAAAACAAATGAGTAGGCTGTTTGCTGAAAGGCCAGGTGCCTGCAGGGAAAGGTGCCTCCAGGCCTTATTAAGTATCAGATCCTACATTGAAATTTAAATTAATTAAAATTAGAAATTATTCTGCACTTGCACTAACTACATTTCAAGGGTTCAATTGACACAGATGGCTTGTGATTATAGTACTGTGCACTTTTATATCATTTGAAATATATTCATAATAACCTTGTGTTTTAAGCATTGTTTATTTTACCAGACTATTGACCCTAATACTCTTAAAATAAATAACCTATATCGTAATGTTCTAACTTTTTAATTTTTTTTTAATTTTTAAAATATTTTGAGTTGTAGATGTTATTTATTTATTTTTATATGTTACTGAGTCTCAAACCCAGTGCCTCACACATATTAGGCAATAGCTCTACCGTTGAGCCACAACCCCAACCCTCTTTTTTATTTTTGGTTACTGGGATTGAACCCAGAAGTGCTTAACCACTGAGCCGCACCAAAGCCCTTTTATTTTATTTTATTTTTTGGTGGGGGGTACTAGGGATTGAGCTCAGGGGCACTCGACCACTGAGCCACATCCATAGCCTTATTTTGTATTTTATTTAGAGACAGGGTCTCAGTGAGTTGCTTAGCGCCTCAATTTTTTGCTGAGGCTGTCTTTAAACTTGTGATCCTCTTGCCTCAGCCTCCAGAGTTCTTGGGATTACAGGCATGCACCACAGTGCCCAGTTATTTTTAAATTTTATTATTATTATTATTATTATTATTATTATTATTATTATTTTAGTACTGGCCACTTAACCACTGAGCCACATTCCCAGCCCTTTTTTAATATTTTTTATTTAGAAACAGGGTATTCCTAAGTTGCTTAAGGCCTCACTGAGTTGCTGAGGCTGGCTTTGAAATTGTTATCCTCTTTCCTCAGTCTCCAGAGCTATTGGGATTACAGGCATGCACTACAGTGCCCGGCTATCTTTGCATTTCTTGAGTACAAGATATCATTTAAAGTTAATAAGTTTTTTTTTTTTTTGGTGTGTTTATTACCTTTAAAAATACTCCTATCACAGCCAAACCATTTTCTTCCAGTGCAGCATCCTCGAAGGTTTCAAACTTGACTGCATTCCAATGTACCAAGTGCAGCTGGAACATCGTTAAAAGTGAGTTCAACATATAACCCTACAGGATCATTCCCAAATAAACTGACAGCCTCTTTCAACATACACATTTAATCATGTTTCTTCATCCCAAATAAAGCTACTGAGAAAAGCATATGACAATTGTGTATAAAATGGGATATTGAAAACAGGGAAAATTTAGGCAAGAACAATTAATATCACTTTGGAAGAGAAAGATTTATTAATGGAGAAAAATAGATTCACATAGCAAAGTAACATTTTCGTAAGGAATCAACATTTGTTCATTCCCATCTTGATTTGCATGAAATACTAATATCTAAAATCTATTTGCATCTAAGGGAGAGAAGATGTTTATATACTAACAGAAAGAGATCCTCCCTATGGAAATTAGACAGGAGTTGAAGACAGATTTCTTCTTGGCAGGATAACCATTTGCAATGTGTTTTCTTTTTTCTTTGGGGTGGGGGTGGGGGGTGATAATGAGGATTGAACACCCAGGGCCTTGTGCATGCGAGGCAAGCACTCTACCAACTGAGCTATATCCCCAGCCCATGTTTTCATTTTTAACATTTCAAACAGAATTAGGGGGAAAGTTGTAAGAAGAAATTCAATTTCCTTATGCTCTCTTTATATTTTCTTATAAATCATTCCTCATCTATCATTCATGAATATGACTGCATTATCACCCAGCCTCCAAATGAGACACCTCAAGGTCACAGTTAACTTTGTCATCTTTTCTCCTGAAGAGGATCCTAGTGCTTTTATTTCAGAAATGTTCGATAAATTTTTTTCTTTCTATTTCTATTGTGATAGACTTCATTTAGGCCCCACATTTCTCATTTGGATTAATTCAACCTGTGGCTGTGCATTGTTTCCTGGATTAGTACTTTACGCAATAGTTTGAGCCTAGTTTAGAATTCTGGAAGAATTCAGTTTCAGGATTTGTTTGTTTATTTTGGTTTGTGGTACAGGAAATTGAACCCAGAGGCACTCTACCACTGAGCTAATCCTCAGTCCTATTTATCTATTTATTTTGGTACTGGAGAATGAACCCAGTGCCTCTTTACCACTGAGCTACATTCCCAACCCTTTTTATTTTTTTATTTTGAGACAGGGTCTCAGTAAATTGCTGAGGCTGACCTCATACTTGTGATTCCCTTGCCTCAGACTCCCAACTCACTGGAATTACAGACATGCACCAGTGTGTCCAGCTCATCTTTTTATTGTTTATTTTTAAATAGGATCTCAATTAATTGCTGAGGGTATTGCTAAATTGCCCAGGCTGGCCTTGAACTCACAATCCTCCTGCCTCAGCCTACCAAGGATTACAGGTGTGTGATACCATGTCAGACAGTTTCAGAATATTAAGATTCATTTCAACCATTTTATTTCAGATGTATGTAATTTTTACATGTCTAGGCTAGAAATAATCAAATATGCCCCTGATTGAGTTATGTAGCATTTATAGGAACAACCTCATTCTTTCTGCTAACTTCTTAGAACTAGAAACGTTAAAGAACTATCCCCACTTCTCCACAGTTGTCTCAGTTCCTGACCTTCTCAACATACCTCTGCTGGGTAGCATTTGCTGTCCACAGTGTGCTCAGAGCCCCAGGCATCAATTGCCCCCCAGTGAAAATGGAACTGCTTCAGTCTGTAGATGTGTTCCAGGGGTCCTCCTTCAATCACTGAAATGGAACATCCAACAATTCAGGGGTTAGTTATTTACCCTGTGGGAAAAAGGCTGAACCTGCAGGCGGACCATCTTTGTAAACTGTCTGAAATGGAGTACACCATATTATATATAAGTATTTATAACTTGATTTCCATGCAGTCAATACATGTATAAGGGCAAGATCAAATGGCATTAAGATTTAACCAGCAAAGCTACATGCAACTGTTAAGGCCAATTTTTGACTTATTTCTATATACTATAGTTTCTGTGATGCACAATAAAATGCAAGTTTCTCTTAGCATATTTATTCAATCCAATCTGATAAAACAAATACAGTGACAAAAGATACTCTCTTTTTTATGCAATAACAATTTGCTTTTTAACTTTTGGAGATATTAATATTTCTTTTCCTTTCACAGAAATGAAATAGGAAATTTACAAGTCAAAAATGATTGCCTAGGGGGCCGGCCAGGGCTATGGCTCAGTGGTGGAGTGCTTGCCTAGTATGTGTGAGGCACTGGGTTCGATCCTCAGCACCCCATAAAAATAAATAAAGGTATTGTGTCCATCTACAACTAAAAAATATTTTAAAAAAGTGATTGCCCAGGAGATGTTGGCCAAAGAGTACACAGTTTCAGTGAAACAGGAGGAACAAGTTCTCAAGATCTATTTCACAGCATGGTTACCACAGTTAATAATAATGTATTGTGTATTTCAAAATTTCTAAAAGTAAATTTTAAAATGTTCTCACTACAAAAAAAAAAAAAAAAGAGTAAGTGGAGCTGGGGCTAGAGCACTTGCCCAGTACATGTGAAGTACAGGGTTCAATCCTCAGTACCACATTAAAAAAATAAATAAATAAAATAAAGGTATTATGTCCATCTACAACTAAAAAAAAAGAAGTATTTGAAGTGATGGATATGTTAATTAGCTTGATATAACATCACACAATGTATACATATATCAAAACATCACATGTGGCCTATAGTGGTACATGCCTATAATCCTAGGTACATAGGAGGCTGAGGTAGGAGGATCACAAGTTGGAGACCAGCCTGGGTAAGTTAGCTATACCCTAACTTAAAATAACAAAAGGCTGGGAATGTAGCTCAGTGGTAGAGAGCTTGCTTAGCATGTCATGTGCAAGGCTCTGGGTTCAATCCCCAGCACCACACACACACACACACACACACACACACACACAAATAGCATCACACTGTACCTCATAAATACACATAACTATTGTCAATTAAAAAACACAACAATTATCATTCATCTTCCTTTGAAGAGAGTGAACAATGTGAACCATTTATACACTTTACTGCGGCCTTTATGGGGTTGAATAATTAATATGCCAAACAAGACTAGTTTTCTGGAACTGGTAAAATCAATATAGTATAGAGAAAATGAATATTCAGAAAAAGTAAGCTGTTAAAGTCACCTTAGACTTTGAGTCGTGCTGATTTTCCCCCCTTGAATTTGCTAATGCATATTAGTTCCTCATTTCCTCTCTCTGACCAGACCCTGGCAATATCTGTACACAGTCAAACCAATATAGCATCATTAAAATCATCCATCCTATTTATCTTAATGATCCTCAGTTGAATTTTATGTACACAAATGATCAAGTACAGAAATCCCAAGGCCTAAATAACACTGAAATGAAATGGTCTGCAATGTATCTTACTGACTTTGAAAAATTCTTACATAATTTCCTCTAAAAATCAGTTTTGTAAGAGGCGAGTGAAGACACCAATGACTTCTTCTTTTTAGGGGGCAGGAGAGATGCAGAGAATAATACCACATGATTCACTAGGTAATAAAAGAATAGTACTAAAATGAAATGAAGTCAAAATAAAATATCTTTCAAAAAAATCTTACTTTTCTACACGAACTCCAAATAGTGAGAATGATTTTGGCAAATACTGAATCCAATTTGTTGAACAAAATTGAAGTTCTGGTCTCAGGTTAAGGGCCAGCTCTCCTCTCCTGTCCCTAGAACAATCCTGGCAACATCTTCTAGATCCTTACTGTGTGTCTCCTCCAAAGATGATAAACAGGGCAAAGAGAAGATGTCACCAACAGGTGGCTGAGGGACAGAATTGGTCTTCAGGTGAGTTTTGATTCACCTACATAGTGTTGGTGGTGCACAAGCTACTAAACAAATTTTAAAATTAGTTGCCAACATTTAAGGCTGGCCAATCTAGGTTTCCAACTTCATTTATGAGAATTAAATGCCATGGCCATGGTGGGAACACAATCCCCCAGGGCTACAGGGTTGGCAGAGGAAATGGATACCCCCTTAAGTAGGCCACCAGTTGTTCACCATGGTCACCTCTGCCATTTCCCTCATTCCCAATCTAACTCATTCTCATTCCCTCCCTGTACTGTAGGTACAACTGCATTTGTGATCCCTGGGAGATAAAAGGTTAGTGGTTCAGCATCTGACTTTGGCACTTGCTACCTGGAAAAGTTAAGTCCCTACCATGTGCTGGGTATCATACCTATATAAATTCTACTAGGGGAGAGATGAGACAGTGTAGTATTCTTCTGTGGAATGTGGTTAAGAGCACACACTTTGTAGGAAAAAAAAAAACCCTGTTTCAGTGAATTGGCTATGTGTCATTTGCCACATGTGCCAGCAGCTTCTAACTCAATGACCAGTGATCCCCATTCCCTGGTATTCACAACCTTATATAATTTCCTCCCCTGGATGTGACCTGGACCTCAGACTTGCTTCCTATGGGCAAAAGTAAGAGGATGTCTCTTTTGGGGATGAGCTTTCAAAAAAGACTGGCTTCTGTTCTGCTTGCCCTCTCTGACCTTCCCCCATTTGCTTGCTTGTCCTATGGAGAAGCCTGTAAAGTAAGGAAATGAGGGTGGCCTTCAGCCATCAGCCACCCAGGAATGGAGGTTCTGAAAGAAACAGAATCAAGCTAACAGGCACCTGAGTAAGTTTGCAAGAGGATCCTTTGCCAGAGAAGCCTTGAGATAAGATCCTAACCAAAATTGATAACTTGATCACAGCCCTATGAGAAACTCAGAGCCAGAACACCCAGATAAATTGTGCCCAGATTCCCACTCTATGAGCATGGTCTACAAAATTCACCATGAATCAGCTCTTGCCTGCCTCTGGCCCTGCTCTCTGTCACCTCCTTCTTACACATTAAATCACAGTAACACCTAACACAAGGATCACATCACCTCTCACTTCTACCTCCATGTAGATCACCCAGATGTCACCTCTATCAAGAACCTTTCTCCCCAGACTCATGTGTACACCTCCGCCATAGCACTTAGCACTTTGCAATGGCATCATCTCTCCTAGGGTCTGTCTCCTCATCACACTTATAAGCTCCTTAAAGGCAGGGTCCATCATCTCTTCCTCTTTCTATTCTGAGTACAGTGTCTGGCACTTAGTAGATTCACAATAAAACCAGGAACTAAAGAAATAGACTGTCATGTGGCTGTCACTGGTAACTGGGATATCACTGGTAACCTCAACAAATGGAAAGGGAAAGGGTGGGGTTGGGTATAGCATATGAGTGGAGGAGGGAAAGAATTATCACCTGGAATTGAACAGAGAAGAAAGAAGATAGTAAATCAGAGAGGAAAACAAGTAGATGTGGTGGTGCACACCTGTAATACCAGCAACCTGGGAGGCTGAGGCAGGAGGATTGCAAGTTAGAGGCCAGTCTAGGCAACTTATCGAGATCCTGTCTCAAAATTAAAAAGAAAAGAAAAGGCTGGGCATGTGGTAGAGCACCCCAGTACCAAAAAAAAAAAAAAAAAGAAAAAGAAAAAAGAAGAGAACAGTCAAACAATGTAGCAAATGTGTATTTGACATTGGTATTTTGTTATTTCTGTGCTCTAAGATGAGAAACAATTAAACTTACAAAGAATTTTAGGTAACAAAAATAAAACATCTTGGGTCTGGGGTTGTGGCTCAGCGGTAGAGTGCTCGCTTAGGACCCGAGTTCGATCCTCAGCACTGCATAAAAATGTAAATTAAAAAAAATAAAAAGGTATTGTGTCCAACTACAACTAAAAAATAGACATTTTTAAAAAATAATAAAATAAAATATATAACATGGAGCATGTTATGTAAAATTATAATACATCAATAAAAAGTATGGGGAAAAAAATAACATGGAGTCTGGCTCCCAGCAAGCAATCTCTGTAATATTCACTCCCTTCTTTTGCATTTCAATGTGTGAAAAAAAAAAAAAAAAAGGAGCTAGCAGAGACATGATCAAAAGAAAGGGAACACACAGAACCCATACAAATAAAAGCAAAAGGCTGGGCTTTTACCCTTGGAATCCCAACAGCTCTACAGGCTGAGGCAGGAGGATTGCAGGTTCAAAGTCAGCCTCAGAAATTAGTGAGGCTATAAGCAATCTAGTGAGACTTTGTCTCAAAATAAAAAAAAATAAAAAGGACTGTGGATGTGACTCAGTGGTTAAATGCCCTTGGATTCAATCCCTGGTATTAAAAAAAAAAAAAAAAAGACAAAGAAACAACAACAAAAATGAGTAAGTGCAGGAAGTGGGCATGAAAACTCTTTAGGGGTGATGAAAACATTCTAAAATTGGATTGTAGTGATGTTTGCTCAACTCTGTAAATTTACCAAAAAAAAAAAAAATAATAATAATTATATTTTTAAGTAAATATAGAACCAGAAATGGGGCAGGAGAACTTAAAATTTTTATGAAAGCATTCTTACTAGGTTCACTGCCTGCCTATGATCCCCTATAAAAGCATGGAGTGAAGCAGGTTGAAACGGGAAACACCCTTAGGAGGAGAACAAAGGGACTCTCCTCTCCTTTCCTTCTATTTAATGCCTTTTGAGTGTCAATAAAAGGAATTTCAGGAAAGGTGATAATTTACAGGGTCGACCATGTTAGCCCAGGGATAGTTTATTGCCCTTCCCTATAATATTTTCTTATTTCTCACATGCACTTATTAAAATCAGTAATTGTGTCCTATTCTGGGGAACTAGATAACAACACAATAATCAGAAGAGAGTGACATGAGACATGCACATACCTTCTTAGAAATCTGTTAATATCTCTAAGAGAGATTGTGTTGTTCCCACTTTCATTCCAGATTTTAGTTATTTGAGTCTTCTTTCTTTCTCTCTCTCTCTCCTGTTTTTTCTTTGGTCCACCTAACTAAAGGTTTGTCAACTCTGTAGATCTTTCCAAAGAACCAACTTTTAATTTTATCGATTTCTGCTCTGTTCTCAATTATTATGTCCTTCTTCATTGCTTTGGATTTAGTTTGCTCTTCTCTTTATAGTTTCTTAAGGTGGAAAGCTAGGTTACTGATTTGAGAAATTTCTTCTTCTCTGTTACATGCATTTTCATCTATAAAATTCCCTCGAAGCACTGCTTTAGCCGCATTCCATAAGGTTTGTTATAATGCTTCTGTTACCTTTCCTGACTCCTTTTCCTTCACTTTATTCCAGATCTTTATAAAGCACACGGTAGTAGCACATTTCTTAGGGTTGGTTTGTTGGTTTTTGTTGTTTTTTTGAAACTCATAGACATTGATACTTGTTAGATTCTTCCTTTTCTAGAATTGTTCCTTCCTTGTCTTCATTTCTAGGATGTCTTTGCTTTCTTTTTTAATTTTTATATTTTTCTTGTTCTCCCCACCCCCACTATTGATTGTTTTGCAACTGCGTGGAGAAATAGTAGTGAAGAAAAAGCAGGAAATAAGAGGCAGTCACTGAAAGGAAAAAAGAGATGGAGAAAGGCACTTACTGGTGTCCTATAGAAAATAATTATTAAAGCATAATAAAATGGGGCTATCAGTTTTAGTTCACTCAGACCAAACAAGTGAAAAATTATCAAACTCTCTACAATTTTTCTTACACATTTTGTAAAAAAAATTTTTAATGAAATTGATTTCACGTAGGGAAGGTAGGATCAAGAGAAGACTAAGGTTTTTAAAAGATCTATTATGATGAAAACATTTGTTATCCATCAGAAATTTTTCATGCAAATGGATGGATAAGAATCCTTAAATCAGTTGGGTGCAGCATACCTATAACTCCAGCTACTCAGAAGGCAGAGACAGGAGGATCCCAAATTCAAGACCAGCCTGAGAAACTTAGCGAGATCCTGTCTCAAAATAAAATAAAAAGTGCTGTAGTTCAGTGCTAGAGTGCTTGCCTTGCATGCATGAAGCCCTGGGTTTGATCCATATACCACACACACAGAAAATAATCTTAAATGTATTATTCAAAAGAAAAAGAGACTGAAAAATAAAACAAACAGCTGTTTACCTAGAAAGCTCTCAAGAAACCCATTAAACAACTTCCTAAGATTTCTAACTCGGTGTAGCAATGGAATATTGGCAATACAAGGTCCCTAAACTATCAAGGGCTTTAAAAGCTGAACAACACCTAGGATCCTCAGAAGAAAAGAAAGAAGATTATCACAGACCTAGACAGGTCTGAGACTTAAAGGAACTACTATGCATACAGAATGAATGTATGAGAGTTGGTGCTCCATAGTTGGGTCTATCCACTTGTTTTAGTCAGCTATTTTGCTGCTGTGACTAAAAGACCTGAGCAGCACAATTGTAGAGGAAGAAAAGTTTATTTGAGGGCCCACAGTTTTTAGTCCATAGAAGGCTGGCTCCATTCCTCAGGGCTCAAAGTGAGGCAAAACATCATGGCTGAAGAGTGTGGTAGAGGAAGCAGCTCACATGATGATCAGTATGCAGAGAGAGAGAGACTCCACTCACCAGATACAAATATACAGAGCCACGCCCCCAATGACCCACCTCCTCCAGCCACACTCTACCCTCCTTCTGTTATCACTCAGTTAATCCCATCAGGGGATTAATTCACTGATTGGGATAAGGCTCTCACAACCCAATCATTTCTCCTCTGAACCTTCTTGCATTGCCTCACACTTGGCTTTTGGAGGATACCTCACATCCAAACTACAACACAATTAGTTTAGGTCTGGCAGGGGTAATGTTAAGAGTTCCAAGGGAAACAAGTCAAGCTTGCCAGAGTACAGAATAGTCATCTGGAACATGGAAATTTAGCTTGCTGTTTTAAGGATTTCTGGAATTCTTATACACAGGATAATATTATAGGTTTCTAGTTAAGATGAGGGCACACTCCAGTGTTTTGGAAAAATTAAGAAAGAAGCCCATGAATCTAGGGGAAAAAATGAGCAATTCTTCTTAGTTTGAGATATGTTAAGTAAGGTACTCAGGGTTTTGGTACCATGTCATACCATGGAGAGAAAGCAGAAAATGGGGATGTGGAGACACCTAAGCCTTTAAGGACAGACTAGGGATGTAGCTCAGAGGTAGAATTCTTGTCTAGCATGCACAAGGCCCTGGGTTTGATCACCAGCACCACAATCTGACAATTTAAATATTATTAATAATATTACTGTTTTGTGTAATAGTTCATGTAAAGTCAGCAAGCAGGAAAAAAAGTACATATTCAAAGAGCTTTGTAATGTTTTGAACAACCAATAAAAAAAAAGACAAAAAAAAAAAAACCAAATAAACTTCTGGTAGAGTTTCATTTTCACATCCTCTTTTCTATAGGAATTATATATATATTTAGTAATAAAAATGTTACTTATACTAATCAGAGAAAATTTGAATAAAAACTAGAAGGAAGTTTTTTATACATTTAAAAAGTAATATCAATGAGTTCCTTTGCTAACAAAGAAGTCAACACTGTCACAGAAACAGTGTGATGTGTCTGATGTTGATACCTTGTTCTTACCTGATTTGTCTGTAGAATCTTCAAATTCCACAAGGAAAGAGTACCCATTATTCCAGATGTGGAGGCAGGTGGCCGGGTCATAAGAGATGGTGAGGGGTTTTAAGCCAGGATCATAAACACTATCCTTCCACCGGATATTGATGGGTGACTGTCGATCACCCCCAGGAAGCAGGTCCACACTCTCCCAGAGTGGATGCACTAGGAGAGAGCAGGGTGGGACCATTAGCAAGAGCAGGAGGCAGTCCCACTTGGGGAGAACCAGCACAGGCCAATGGCAACTGGAAGTCTTTGGAATTAGCGACTCAGAGCCTCAACTGCCTAAAGCAGAGGATAAAGGCAGACCAGAGAGCACCTTGCATGGGCTCATGTCTGCCATCTTGAAAAGCCAACATGTCCCAGTCTGCCTACTAATCTCACCTGAACTCAGTGCTGTCAAGTCCTGTCACAACAGCAAAATGATTAGTGCCAGCTGCAAATGGGGTTTTCACAAGTGAATTTCTTTGTTTCATGGCTAATGTCCCAAGCCCCCAACTGGCTTTAAACACAAAGTCAAGTCAATTTAATTTCCAGTGACAGACTTCATTTTGAGCCAAGGGAATGGGGGAAGAATTTTGGAAAGCAAACTTTCATCGAGTGCAGCGTCTTCAGCTGGGTGGCTAGGGTAAACTGCTGACATGCGCAGTGTGCACGCTGAGCTCACCCCTGCGCCAGTCATCAGGCAGCCGCCCTGCAAGGCCAGGGCGAATATCAACATTGCCCAGGTCCCTCAAGTTCCCGGCCTGTCACTCAAATGTGGACATCATCTATGATGGTGTGTACACGTGGTTTGTCCCCCACAGCCACTGACGATGTGACCGATGCTGACTCTTTCCCACAGAATCAAGCCCCAGGGCTTTGCAGCAATAAATATCAGTGGACTTCCTGCTTACAGAGACCTGTTGAGACACCTACACGTGATGAATGGAACCCTCATCTAGTGGTTTGGGGTGGTCCAGTTCCCAGCCTTGTAGAAGCATCATGGATGGGTAGAATCAAAACCAACTGGAAATGTGAATGGACAGAAGTCATTGCATATGGCCCCTGCATCTTGCCCCACCACTAAGAATGAGTAAGGATTCGAGTGGTGGGGTAAGATTCGGGTAAGGATTACTCGAATTTGAGTAAGGATTCACAGTATTTTTTTCTTTCCTTTTTTTTCCCCATAAAATATAGTACTCTTATCTCTGGAGAGGTCCAAACCCAACTTTGAATTTTTTTCCACCTTAGTCTAAAAGAACTTGTGAAGAACAAGAATTTCCTTTAGAGAAGATCTGTTTCAGAACTGTAAAAGAGAAAATGCATATGAACTGATACAATGCATCATCTTCTAATCTGATGAGACTGCAATGTTGTGGGCAGGAGTGAAATCTTACTACTTTCATTGTCACACTATACTGCCTAATTAAATATATATCCTTTAATTTTGTTACTGATTACCCAACTGCTATTGTTGGGTTGGGGGAGCTATATTTGCTTCAAATTACACTGATTTTTTAAATATATTTTTTAGTTGTCAATGGACCTTTATTTTATTTATTTGTATATGTGGTGCTGAGAATCGAACCCAGTGCCTCACACATGCTAGGCAAGTGCTCTACCGCTGAGCCACAACCCCAGCCTCCTTCAGCTCTTTTTATTTTTTATTTTATGACAAGATCTTGTTAACTTGCTTAGGGCCTCACTGAGTTGCTGAGGCTGAACTTGTGATTCTCCTACCTCAGCTTCCAGAGCAGCTGGGATTATAGGTGTGCACCACCATTCCTGGCTCACGCTGATTTTTTAAAAATTTTATGTATTTTATTTAATTATTCTTTTGTGTGTTTTTATTAATTTTTAATTTATATATGACAGCAGAATGCTTTACAATTCTTATTACTCATATAGAGCATAATTTTTCATATCTCTTGTATACAAAGTATATTCACACCAACTTGTGTCTTTTTTTAGAAATAAAAGTTCATTAAAGTTACTACATAAAATATTAATATGTAAAATGAAATAATTTCCATACAACATGATTAAAAGTGAAATTGAAATAGAAATCATATACTTTTCTAAATAATGCATAAAATATGGACTACAACAAACTTACTCCTTATAAAATTACTGAATATTACTAAAGATCATTAAAGAAGTCATAAATAAATGAAAATAAAACATAATTTCTGTATAAAATAAGACAGTATTATAAAGATAGCAATTCTCCTCCAAAATTGGCTATGAACTAAATGGAATTCTAATGAAACTCTCAACAGGATTTTTCATGAAAGTTGACAAGCTGTCTGCTAAATCACATGGAGAGTAAATGATTACTAACTGCCAAGATAAAGGCCATTGGCATGCAATGGCTCTATACCACACAGAATGGAGGAGATTCTGGTTTGGCTCTTTTATCATACAATGTGTTCTATCAGAAAAAAATATTCAATTTGATAAATTTCTCATATCAATTATTTGAAAAATATTTATTTAACCCATAATTGTGTTTTAAAACTGTTGGTTGAAGCGGTCAGGGTAGATAAGTTTGACCACAAAGAAGTGAGAATGTTTTGGCAGGAGCTAAGATAGTTGTTTTACCGTGGCTTATTATTTTAAGTGTCTGAAGCAACATTGTCAATAATCTTTTCTTCTAGAACTTACTTTAAACTACAGTTTTTTTTAAGGAAAAATGGCTACAATAACACTAATACATCTCTTCTGAATTATTTTGGAAATGTTTGGTATTATTCTGTTCTAACTATTCAGGAGAGACACGTTTATCCTGTTTTATTATTTTCAAATGAAGCAATCCTGTCTGCTTGTGTAATTTTAAAAGGACATTGGTCACTGCTATTACTCTAGTTCTTACACAGGCAAACTTCTGTTGTCACTTAAGGACATCAGACTCAAGTCCTTCCTGATTAACCCTCCATGCATCTATGGTCCATTTGATGTCTTTGATATGAATACACTAAAGGGCTTTTACTGATGAACTAATCATTTAATTCCTTTAGGCTAAATTTTCTTCTCTTTTAAAAGTAATCTCCATAGGACCATGCTTCAGCATGCAAAACATATAATAATATTTTGCATGTTTTTTTACATGCAAGTAAATTTTTTATTAATATTTTTATTTATATATGACAGCAGAATGAATTACAACTCTTATTACACATATAGGGCACAATTTTTCATATCTCTGGTTGTATACAAAATATATTCACACCAATTCGTGTCTTTATACATGTACTTTGGAATAATGTCCACCACATTCCACCATCATTAATAACCCCATACTCCCTCCCTTCCCCTCTCACCCCTCTGCCCTATCTTTTTAATCTTCTGGAAAATCTTAACAGCCCTGATTCATTTTCAAAGATTCCTGAAACAAACAAACCACAGATCTTCACCTCTAAGATGCTCAGACTTTTTTTTTTTTATTGGTTGTTCAAAACATTACAAAGCTCTTGACATATCATATTTCATACATTTGATTCAAGTGGGTTTTGAACTCCCAATTTTACCCCAAATACAGATTGCAGAATCACGTCGGTTACACATATACATTTTTACATAATGCCCTATTAGTAACTGTTGTATTCTGCTACCTTTCCTATCCTCTACTATCTCCCCTCCCCTCCCCTCCCATCTTCTCTCTCTACCCCATCTACTGTAATTCATTTCTCTCCTTGTTTATTTTCCCATTCCCCTCACAACCTCTTATATGTAATTTTGTATAACAATGAGGATCTCCCTCCATTACCATGCAATTTCCCTTTTCTCTCCCTGTCCCTCCCACCTCATGTATCTGTTTAATGTTAATCTTTTCTTCCTGCTCTTCCTCCCTGCTTTGTTCTTAGTTGCTCTCATTATATCAAAGAAGACATTTGGTATTTGTTTTTTAGGGATTGGCTAGCTTCACTAAGCATAATCTGCTCTAGTGCCATCCATTTCCCTGCAAATTCCATGATTTTGTCATTTTTAGTGCTGTATAATACTCCATTGTGTATAAATGCCACATTTTTTTTATCCATTCATCTATTGAAGGGCATCTGGGTTGGTTCCACAGTCTAGCGATTGTGAATTGTGCTGCTATGAACATCGATGTGGCAGTATCCCTGTAGTATGCTCTTTTAAGGTCTTCAGGGAATAGTCCGAGAAGGGCAATAGCTGGGTCAAATGGTGGTTCCATTCCCAGCTTTCCCAGGAATCTCCATACTGCTTTCCAAATTGGCCGCACCAGTTTGCAGTCCCACCAGCAATGTACAAGAGTACCCTTTTCCCCACATCCTCGCCAGCACTTGTTGTTGTTTGACTTCATAATGGCTGCCAATCTTACTGGAGTGAGATGGTATCTTAGGGTGATTTTGATTTGCATTTCTCTGACTGCTAGTGATGGTGAGCATTTTTTCATGTACTTGTTGATTGATTGTATGTCCTCCTCTGAGAAGTGTCTGTTCAGGTCTTTGGCCCATTTGTTGATTGGGTTATTTGTTTTCTTATTGTTTAATTTTTTGAGTTCTTTGTATACTCTGGATATTAGGGCTCTATCTGAAGTGTGAGGAGTAAAAATTTGTTCCCAGGATGTAGGCTCCCTATTTACCTCTCTTATTGTTTCTCTTGCTGAGAAAAAACTTTTTAGTTTAAGTAAGTCCCATTTGTTGATTCTTGTTATTATTACTTTTGTGCTATGGGTGCCCTATTAAGGAATTTGGAGCCCGACCCCACAATATGTAGATCGGAGCCAACTTTTTCTTCTATCAGACGTAGAGTCTCTGATTTGATATCTAGCTCCTTGATCCACTTTGAGTTAACTTTTGTGCATGGCGAGAGGAGGGGATTCAGTTTCATTTTGTTGCATATGGATTTCCAGTTTTCCCAACACCATTTGTTGAAGATGCTATCCTTCCTCCATTGCATGCTTTTGGCTCCTTTATCAAATATAAGATAGTTGTAGCTTTGTGGATTAGTCTCTGTGTCCTCTATTCTGTACCATTGGTCCACCTGCCTGTTTTGGTACCAGTACCATGCTGTTTTTGTTACTATTGCTCTGTAATATAGTTTTAAATCCGGTATCGCTATACCACCTGATTCACACTTCCTGCTTAGAATTGCTTTTGCTATTCTAGGTCTTTTATTTTTCCATATGAATTTCATGATTGCTTTATCTATTTCTACAA